GTCTATTCTCTTTTGGCTTTTCCCAACTTCAGAATCTTAGTCCCTTTTTTAAAAAGACTACCTTCTCACAGCTACTCCCCTTCATATTTTGAACTTCAAATATTGTAAGTGGGGGCCGGGGAGATGGCTCAGTGGAATAAATGCTTCCCTAGCAAGCGCAAGGGCCTGAGTTCAATCCCTGGTTCTACAAAAAAAAAATTGCAAGTGCGTGAATTTTGCAAAATAATCCAATACAGTCCAACCTATTCCATATTATGTCTAAGGCATTTGATTTTCAGACAGATTGTGAGGTTCAGTTCAACTGCCTGTTATAGGGTAATAATATCATTAAGCTTCTCTTCTGGAGGGCTAACAACTTAAGTTTGCAGACCAAAACATTACAGAAAAAGAAGGGTACAAGGATAGCAAATATTTTGACCTAGCCCTTCGAGGTCAATGAGGACTCAGGAAATAAGAGAACCTGCACTGTAACATCCTGTAACTGAGTGGTGTCCCAAATTTTCTGTTCAAGGGGATTATGGGGCCACAGAAGAAAGTGATTGACCATATATAGTGGGCCTAAGGAGAGTCACCTAGAGAGAAAACATCATCCCAGACTTTTCTCCTGTTTTCTTGGTTCCACCCCACAAGGCTGCCACAGCCATTCCAGTCTGCGGACCTCTAGGCTACATCAAGATCACACCAGCTGGGAAGGTCACACAGGATTCTGTGGGTTCCTTGACACTTAGGAAACAAGTCATTAATTTCTTCCCACTCCTCTGGATTCCAGTTAGTCTGCATCTTGCTGCCTTCCAGTTTACTGCTGTGGACATATAAACACCTTCTCATCATGGGTTTACGGGGTCTGCTCTCCCGGAGAAGCCAGCATCTAGTGATTAAATACTGTTTTATTAATAAGTAGGCATTTGGGACTTTCACTTCTATAAATTTATATCCTAATATGTGATTAAACCTCCCCATTATGTACATTAATCTCCAAGCTTCAAAGGGTGAAAAGGCTTTTATGTGTCTTGGATTTGATAACTTGTGCGTCCCACTCACCTAATTTGTATCTCTTTTAACTCTGATGATAGTCTATTCTCTTTTGGCTTTTCCCAACTTCAGAATCTTAGTCCCTTTTTTAAAAAGACTACCTTCTCACAGCTACTCCCCTTCATATTTTGAACTCCGTTCATGTTTCTCTTCAGGTCTACAGAGCCAAGAAAGTATTCTATCTCTTCCCTTTATTGCCCCAAATTTCAGTGGTCTGCCTTCCTTGTTTGTGTCAATCTTTCAGGTTGACATATCCACAAAAAGCCTTTTTGAAGTTGGATCTCCCTTCCTGAAACTTTATAAGAGAATTCAAAGTCAGCAAAGTGGGGGGATGGACCAACAGAATGTTCTTCTCAGCTGTTCAGGATTGCAAAGATGTTTCCAGTTGTAGTTATTTATTTGTGTCTATTTTGTTAGTGATTAGGTCTTAAAATTGTCCATGTACCTTTATTTTTCATCACTTATCGACTCTCCATGGTTCAGCCTTTATTTTAAAGACAGGTTCATTTACCTAACACCTTAATTTATTGTCAGCCTATTCACATTCAAATCCCGTTGCCAGCTAATTTACTAAGTTAATAAGTAGCAGTGAGCAGTAAGTGATAAGAGGATAGATTCATGCTCCAGTTGGACTCTTTCTGTATATTATCTGAAAAGGTGGCCCCTTTTCAGACATGACTGAATCTAGAGTGTGTGACTGATTCCATGGTGCGATGGTAGGCTTAAGGATGCTAGGATTAAGGGTGCATGATTATATGAATTTGGAATTGCCATAGTCCCAGAAGCCTAGACACAATATAGGGGACAGGAAGAGGCTTTCTTGTCCCTCACTTGCTTGTTCTGCTACCTTCTGCCTGCCATGAACTGTTTCTCCCCTGCTTTGCCCCTCTGCCTTGGAGCCAGCTGACTCTAACCTGAAACCTCTACAAACTGTGGTAGCTAAACCTTTTCTCCTTTAACTTTGAGCGTTGGGTATTTAGTCTCGGCAATGAGAAAAGTATCTAACACTCCTTTCCTGCACTGTGCATCCTCTTAATCCTGCCTCAGTCTACAGATGATGGAAGTAACTGATTGGTCCGGCTCTGTCCCAGTACTTGTGCCCTTCATCGTCACCACAGGCTGTGTGCACCGAATGTGGACCTGCCCTGCACTACTTTCTCCTCGGGGCAGGCAAGAACATGGGCTCATACACACAGGGGAGCAATTACAAAGGGTGCAGACTGGAGAAAGCCTGGGTCTTAGCTTTACCCGCTGCTAATGTCCTCTCACTTCTCAGAGCTTCCATTTCTCCTCTCTAAAATGTGCATGCCAGTTCTCACAAATTGTTGTGAAGTACTCGTTACACGAAATACTAGCACCTCCACAAGTGCTTCAAAACTGTAAAAACACCACCTCTGGATGGCTGCCCCCTCTCTTGAGCTTTCTTTTACTTATACCAAATGTTTTGTTTGTTTTTCCTCTAATAGCCTCTACCAGAAGGTCTTTTAGGGCTCTGCCTTTGGCAAACTGTCTTCCCCACAGACAGCTTGGATTTCCTACGGACTCTTGGGAATGTGTACAAAAATAGTCTTTCACTTACTTTTCCTCTGAGCTTTTTTTTTTTTTTTAACATTTTTGACACAAGCTTCATCCACTGTGTGGTTGTAGAGTGAGGGCAGACCCAGTTGGGCTTCTTTATTCCCAATGTAGTCCTAGTGCCAGTAACAATGGAGCAACGTGGAAGGCTCACAAGGGTTGCTCAGTTACTGCTGAGATGCTTGCTAAAAAGACAAAGTAGGAAAGAGGCTGAAATGTTTGTTTTCGCCTTTGTATGAAGCTGCTGTGTAAAAACTTTCTTAAAATCCTTGGACACCTGGACAGGGTCTTATTTGGAAGTTATATCTAATGGTACTACTTACAGAGAAACTGGGAAATAAAGAAAAAGGAGAGAGGATATGACATTACCCTTGCATCATGATGCAGAACCCTTACTATTTTATTGATTTCATTCAAGTATAACTTTCATACAGTTGTATTCATAGGTATGTGACATATGAACACAATGTTGTGAATGTTATGTAAATATGTAAGTATATGTATGTGTATGTATTTATATATGCTAATTCTTACCTTAGTATCTGTGTATATATAGCAAATAGCCTAAAGCTTATAAATCTCACTTTAGCTGGGGAGATGGCTCAGTAGAATAAGCACTTGCTTGGCAAGTTCAAGGGCCTGAGTTCAATTCCCAGTTACACACACACACACACACACACACAAAATCTATTAGGACCAGCCAAATAGCTCAGCAGATTAAAGTGCCTGCAAGCAGGTGCAGGGACCAGGGGTTCAATCCCCAGGCCTGCCGTGCTGGCTCCATCCCTGGTGTGCACTGAGATGGCAATGGAGACTGGGCGTGGTGGCGCATGCCTATAATCCCAGATCTTGGGAGGCTGTAAACAGGCGGATCACTATGAGTCTGATCTAGTAGTGAGACCCTGAACACTATGTAGACCCTTCTCTAAAAATACACACACACACACATACACACACACACACACAAATAAATAAATCTCACTTTAAAGACAACTAATGTTTCATTTTCAACACACCATTGTTTACTTAAACCTCACTCCTTTTCATAGAACTTTAGATTGCAGCTTTCCATTTTTTACTGTTCTCTGTGTCTAGGTCATTTTTAGCACTTTTTAAAATATTTTTCCTTCACCAATAACATGCAATAAGGACTGCCTCAACAAACTCAAGTTATCATTGAATGTCATTTTTCCCTTTCTTCTTCACAGATGAAAAAGCGTTCATGCTTAGTATGTCTTTTAATATTTGCTCACTTTATTTCAAAGTCATTTAATGAGCACAAGCTAAGTGCTAGACACTGATAGCAGAAAGAAGGAGTCTGTCTTCAGGAATATTTGCTCTAGTGGTTGAAGGACTACACTTATTTTGTTTATTTGCATGGGATAATGATTTGTATGACTTTGGACAAAAATAAACTTACTAGTATTTTGCTATGATTAAAAAATATTTTCCATTCTAGTTCACCCTTGAGTTCATTCTATTTATGAATTTTTTCTTACACATGATAGTTGGAATTTTTTGTGATTTATTCTTTTGTTTTGAATTTTAGAAATGGCTCCCTTGAAGTAGCTAGAGAGGAATTCACCTATATTTTCCTCTGCATTATTATTTGCTTAATTTATGAAACTTCCTGAAATTCATTTCACTTTTTAAAAAATATTACTGAATTATGAATTAAATATTCATTGCCTTGACCATTATGTAGTCATGATCTAATGTATTTACTTCATCATGCTGTAGTGTGTGCTTGAAATTTGCTAAGAAAGTAGATCTTAAACGCTTTTGAGAAAGTGTCCTCAAAATCACAAAAGCAAAAAGTAATTGCATGAGGTGATGTATGTTGTCATGTCTCAGTTACTCTTCTCTCGTGGTGGGGACAAAAACCCAACACACAAAATGAAGGAAGGAAAGGTTTATTTAGCTCATACTTCCTGGAGGTTTCACTCCATACTCGGCTGGCTCCAAGGCAGGGCGGCACATGGCAGAGAGCAGCCTTTTATGGCTGTGGCAAAGAGCAAACAACAAAAGGAGGAGCAGCAGCAACAAGGCTACAGAGAGGAAGTCTGTCTCCCTTAAGCTGCATTCAGGCTACCTGCCCCAGGCTGGGTGTAGTACTCACACCCATAATCCCAGCAGCACTCACACCCATAATCCCAGTGGATCATGAGCTAATCACAAACTCTAGAAGTCCACCCCATGACCACATGAGGCTTTGGGGGGACAACTGGACACAAACCATAACAAGTCACGAGCTTCTTTCACAGTGCCATATCAGAACTCTACGTTGCACACCTTAAAAACCTATACTTAATATACTTCAATGAATTTGGAAAAAGACATTCCACTGAAAAACAACAAAAAAGTAGTGGTATTCTAAGCTTTATTAATAATAAAAGTTTCTTTACAGTTTGATTACCTTGGATCTTCTAGTTACAAAATTATCTCCATAAATAACGAAAATGGTTTCCTTTTAAACCAGCTCCTCATGATGAAAGCTGTCCCAGCATTCAAATATTTTGTCTTGGAATATATAGTACCTTCATGAAAGCTGGGGCTCTGACACTGATGGGTACCCTTTGTCCCTGTAGGAGCAGTACATTTTCATCCACCAGTGTGTGCAACTGATGTGGATGCGGAAGAAGCAGCAGTTCCGCATCAGTGACGTCATCTACGAGAACGTCAGCAAGTCCTAGTTATGGCCCTCGAGGAGTAAGTAGAGAAGAGTGTGTTAGAGGTGCTCTGCCTGGGAGCAGCAGGGTAGGGCATGGCATCATGGCCCAAAGGCTGATGCAGACTTTTGTACTGGCTCTGCCTTTGCTCTGGTCTCTCTAGGCGATGCTTGGCCACACAGAAATGATTGTGGGAGAGAAAAAAAAAAAATCCCATCGCAGATTTGTGAGCAGCCATGCACCTGGCTGGCTACGATGATCACAAGGCATCTGTTAGCTTTTCCACTGCTGTAACACAATACCTGAAACAAACAGCTTAAAAGGAGAAAAGATTTCGTTTAGTTCATGGTTTCAGCCTGTGGTGTGCCCGTGCATTTACAGGTCTGTGATGTCCCAGACAGGATCATGTGGCAGAGGAGAATCCCCAAACAAGGAAGGTCAGAAAGCAGAGAAAGAGAGAGAAGAAGGGGACAGCACCTCAATATGTCCTTCAAAAAGCATGTCCCCAGTGCCCATGTCCTCCAACAAGCCCACCTAAAGTTTCCACCACCCACCAATAATGCCACTGCCTGGGGACCACTCCTCCAACATATGAGATTCCAGGGCCCTTCTCAGGTCTAAACTACCACCAGCAGCTGCTGCAACTCACAATGATTTGATCTCCATTTCCTCTACCAGAGCCTTACAGCGTTCTGACATGGGATCTGTGCTTACACTAAGGGATATACTATCCTACTCTATGGTCCAAATATTTTGTGCAAACATTTTATTGATTAAAAGGATCATAAAGGATTACAGAGGAGACTCAAATTGCAGTAGACACTTGATATAGGTTGACAATGGTATGTCAGAACAGTGGAGTCTGAAAATGCTTTGATCTCACCCATTTGGGGATCATGGAGTCGAAAGTGAAAACTTCTAAAGCCCAGCGCTCCGATTTTGACTAAAAGATCAGATTTCAGAAATGTAAGTAGGCTTGACTGAGATACCAAACAAACTCAGCATTTAGCACCATAAACAGAAGAACCATTGACAGAGTTGGGAGGGTTAGTGTGTTGTGGGAACAGCAAGCTAGAATAGCAAATGTGAGTCAACAGCTGCTGCGAAGCGTCCGTATTGTGTGTCTGCAACCATCCATTTCACCTCTAAACCTATCAAAAAAGAGACAGAGCAGCAGGACTGAACAGGAATGGTAGAGGATAAGGGAGAAGAGACAAATCTGTAGGTAGAGAGGCATTCAGACTCAGAGGGGAGTCACACAGCTGAACAAGCATGGATAAATTCCCACCCACATGAAGGGTGAAGCTGATTGTAAGAAGAACTGCTGTTGCAGTGGGAGGGAGGGGGCAGAGACCTCAGACCACTGACACTCTCTCTCTCTCTCTCTCTCTCTCTCTCTCTCTCTCTCTCTCTCTCTCTCATTCACAGGAGAGGACATGATGTGCACTCATCCTCCCTTCCAGAATTTTGGGGGCCCTACTAGTCATTTTGGCTAAAACAAGCCCCTGCTTTGTAGTATGTGGCCAAGGAGATAACTTATCTCACAGAAGCACTTGGAAGACTTAGCCTTAAAGAGCCTACAGTGTCTTTTGGACTCTTTCACTTCTGAACATTTAATGGAGCAAATTCAACAGGACATCAGAAAGGTCAACATGCTCTGCAGAACTTCCTGCAGGCAGAAAGTAGCATTACTTTTGAAGAGTTTAGTTGGCCCTCTGCTGGTTGGGCTGCATTTTGATTTTGCTTTTTGTTTTAAGTGCAATAATTTTTGTACATGTGTGATTTTATCAGAAAGCTGAACTGTTTTCTGCCCACACCAATGATCACCCCCATAGCCCAGGAAGAAAGAAGCGTTGTTAGCAACAAATTGTATCTCATTATTTAAAAGAGGCACAGCCACACACGAAGAAAGTGATCATGTACCTCAAAGGAAAAGAACCAACCATATATCTGTGTCCCAACTGTGAGACTACTGGCTCAGAAATGGAGAGGGTGGATGGGGAGGAGAAAAGGGCTTTATCCACAGATCATCCACATACTTTTTCCTACTCCAGATGTGAAAAGCTGTACTTCAAAGTAGAGTAGAAAAACAAAAAGTATTTGTCTTAATTATTCTAGTTCTTGATGGTTTTCTTCCTTATTAACTGTTGCGTGTTTCTTCTGTGGCCCTTGGGGACTCAAGGTATTGCTCAAGTCTTTTTCAAGAAACCACATTTGGTTCAGAAGAGTTTCCAACCCGACCCTAAACCCTATTGCTGTCTAAGCAATCTCGGTGCCTAGAGTTTGCATCTCTTTTTCTGTTGTCCTGCCTCTGTGTGAGCGCGATTTCTCTGAGAATCTATAGGCTGTGACGAAGCACTTTTTCCTCCCGAAGAACTGGGAATTGATGAAGTTATGGCAAGAACTTCAGCATGCTGGGACAATTCTTCGGCTACTTTTGTGATATTGTCAAGCGGCGTCTCTATGGATTCCCACGGAGATCGCTTTTCGTTTTGTTTTCTTTTTCGGTTGTCAGTTTCATTTTTAACTTGTGTAAGTAGTAACATTCTATTCTTTGAATTTTGTATAACTACAGTACACGATTGTATCTTGTGGCATGAATACTGTCAAATGGATATTGATGGCGTTGTGGAGCCTGTGACTTTGTGCCACTTGCTGAGAAATCAGAGGTGGTGGTCGAGGACAACATTCGGAGCTGAAAGTAAACTCAAGCTGGCTGCTTCAGTGTGGCGATGTGGCTATCAGGAGCCTTCCTTCCTGTGTCGGCTGCCAGGAAGCTCTGGGCTTCTCTGTGTGTCTGATCGCTACCCCTTCCCCGGACACCCCTCCATCCCTGATCCCCCTCATGAAACCCCATATACAAGATCAGTTTCAAATTTCATCGGTGACCTCAGTGACGGTGAAGAATGCCAGATGCACAGCTCTGCACCCCACCGACTCGTGTCACTGAGAAGGCCTGGCCACGGCAGCCCTTGGCAGAGGTCCTCACGCGATCTAGCCAGCAAGGCTCAGTTTCGCCTTGCAGGGTGAAGGGCAGAGGAGGTCTGTGCTGTTCAGGTGAACAGCTTGGCCTCCTGGGGGATTGTCCATTTCTCCTCACCTCCTGGGTTCTCCATCTTGTCTCCCTGCTGCCACCTCCTCCTCCTCCTCCTCCTCCTCCTCTTCTCACCCTGCTCTTTTACCTCCCCTCTTGGCATTATCACAACACATAGCGCCATTCTCAGGAACAAACACAGTTAAAGAAAGGTGGCAAATGTTAAGGGTGACATTCTTAGGACAGGCCAGGGGAGGGGAGGTGGGGGGAGTATGGTGTGACAGGTGAGCAAGCTGATAAATGTTTCTAGCACCGCGACAAGGAAGCATGCAGACATTTTCTTGCCTGGATTGCCACGTCCCCTGAAACAAAGCACTTCATGAATATTTCATGTTTTCCTTGAGCACCTCAGCATGGTAGGGATCAAATAATGTCAGATCAGTTTTCCCAAAAGAAATAATGAAGAGTCCCAAGTTGAGACCCAAGACTCCCGGGTGCTACCACAGAAAGCTCAGAGAAGTGCTTTACCAGATCATTCTTCAGGTTCTCCGTGGCCACAGCTCCTCTCCCGGAAGCTCCTCAATCTGTAGAGGCAGGAAAGGCATCCAGCTAGCGGAAGGCTTGGCTTTAATCCTGATAATGACTTTGAAACTTACTTCTGCTGAGTTTCATTTAACAGGCTCTAGAATGATCTGCACAGAGCTCCATATTTTATAGGTATGAGAATCAGAAGTGAGGATTTACCCAAAGATACTGTATAGTATCTTATTTTCTTATGTCCCCTAAGGCTACACCAAACAGCTCTGTTTAACCCCAGCACCCAAATGGAGCATCCACCAGGAAAACTTTCAAGAACTCTGTATTATCATTTTTTTTTTTTTAACTTTGTGTACTTGGTACAGGGTCTCACTGCACAGGTCAGACTTGTAGTGATGCTCCTGTTTCAACCCTCTCAGTGCTGGGATTACTGGCATGTACTACCATGCCGGGTTTCAATGGCCGGCATGGTATGCAGTGCCAGGAATCAAACCTGGGTTCCTGCACTTGCCAGGCAGGCACTTAGACTGCTGAGCTCTCTCCCAGCCTCAGAAACTCTGTATTATTAGCTAAGCTAAAAAAAAATCATTTAAGTAGTGATTTGTGCTGAATGAACATGGAGGCTTTAGCACACACAGTTCACACAGAGCTAAAGGTTTTAGAATTGCAAAGTATTTACCTTTAAGTGCTACTGAGATCAAATTCATTGGCTGCAAAAGACAATTTATGCAGTTAGTTTAGAAACTGCCTCTATGGTCTAATTTATAAACTTAATAACACCAGTATATCTGTCACTACACAGTGTGTGATATTCTTTAATTGGAAAAAAAAAAGTGACAGCAGCATTTTGTGGATAGCCTCCTTTTTTTTTTTTTTTTTTTAATATGAGGTCTAAATTTTCCCACTGCCAAGAAAAGGTTGCCCCTCACATTTAAATTAGAAAAGTTACTGAACTGTCCTAATATTAGATTTCATAATGCCTCTCATTTTTTAAAAGTTGTCCCCTGTCCCCAAAAGGTTGGCATATCTCTCAAAGGGCTTGTGGCATCAACATGCAAAGGAAGAGCCTGAGGCTCTGGGTCTGGATTTTCTGCAGGCCACACGATACCTGCTCACTGGAGGATTGGCCCTTAGCCAAGGAGTTAGAATTACTGAGTCCAATTTGTAAGGGCCAAAATTCCCCCTGCTTTCTAGCAAGGAGGCCTTCCTCTGCACCTCAGGAAATGTCTGGTGCAATGTGCTTCAAATAACTGGCACACTTCCTAGATCACAGCCCTCTGAGCTGGCACTGGCACAAGAAAAGAATCTAGGAGCCATGCCCAGGACGGGATCTGACACTGGCTTTGGCCAAAGGTGTTAGAGAGCAGCGAAAACACACAACATACACAACTGCAACATACACAACTGCAAACTTTGACCCCTGATTTTCAACAGCCCAATTCAGACACAGGTAAAAGAAATTTCAGCCATGACAGTTCTGACCCCCTGGCCTTCCAGAACAGGAGGGCTTTTGTTTTCAGATTCAGCCAGAGTTTATCCCAGGCTTTATCTTGGTGGGCCACTTGATCAGAGAAGGAGTATAATGTTGAGTTCTGGGAGCTCCATTATAAGGGGCAGAGTACCACACAGAAGGCTGTCTGGACAGGATCACCAGAACTGCTAAGAATGTGGAAAGACAACAGGTTGTAGTAATAAAACCTGGGAAAACTGGGGCTGTTCAACTTGGAGTGAGGAGATTACTCTGTCATTCATTCAAGAGACGTTTAATGCTGTTCAAATCAATTAATCAATGGACAGAAGATATCTTGGACACTTGCAATAATGTTAGGTTCTATGATAAGCCCAGATGGAGCACTGCACTAGCCTTCTGAAATATGTTGAGAATTAGTTTCATTGTCTGTAGAAGGACTGCACAGAAAGTATCAGTCAAGTTGATTGCAACATGTTTGTTTGTTTGTTTGGTGGAACCAAGGATTGAACTCAGGTCCTTGCGCTTGCCAGGGAAGTGCTTATTCCACTGAGCCATCTCCCCGGCCCCCGCACATTTTTTTTGTTTTGTTTTGTTTTTTGGGTTTTTTTTTTATGTCTTAAAACCTTCTCACAATGTATCTTCCTACCTGGCATGCCTGCAAGTCAATATAATAAGATTTTTATTTTCAGTTTTTAGGATTGATTTTGCTGTTTATTTATTATTATTATTAGTAGTAGTAGTAGTATTGTTTTGGTACTCAGAATTGAACTCAGGCCCTTGCACTTGCTAGGCAGGCATTGTGCCACTGGGCTATATCCCTAGCAGTTTTTAGGATTGAACTCTGGGCCTTCACACTGAGCTGCATCCGTGACCCTCCTCGGCCTCCCCTCGCCCTCTCCTCCCCTTTGACCCTCCTTTCCCCCTCTCCCTCTCCTTCTGCTTCTTTACTTTGAGACAGTATCTCACTGAATTACACAGGCTAGGCTCAAACTCGTGATTCTGCTGCCTGACGGATAAGCTTCCTCCCCAGGAGCTTATATATCAGAAGATCAGATAAACATTGCTTTTGTCACCCAGGGCGACCCTGCCTGGAACAAGACTACCCTCCTGCTTGGAGAGAGTTACCGCTAGCCCTCTGGCTCAGAGGAGGGCTCTGAACAGTACACCTCCCCAGAAGATAGGAAGTTCTTTTCTCCTGGATGCTTCTACTATGAGGAGTCGCTGTCTCATGAGGCAGCCTAGCCCTTCATTTTTCAGAAACCATTTCCTCCTTTTGTTTATATGTGTAAGGATCCTACTAGCTTGAATGCATGAGGCTTGGAGCCCAAGTCCATTTCCCCGTGGGGGGGAAAAGCGGGCTGTGAGTGTGCTACTACCTGTGGCTGCACTGAAGAGAGGATCAGCCGCTCTCAGGCAGCAGAGATGGTGTTTACGATTATGAACAAAACATAGGATGACTTTACATTTTTAAAAATTTGCCACAGTAAAAAACATATTGCCAGGGTGGGGAGATAGCTCAGCGGTCTAAGTGCCCACTGGCAAGCGCAAGGACCTGAGTTCAATCCCCAGTACTGCATGCTGTGCTAGCCCTGAACCCGGGTGTGCCTTGCCTGCCCAGAAGCTGGGCCTAGTGACGCACGCCTGTAATCCCAGTTCTGGGGAGGCTGAGACAGGAGGATCACTGCAAGGCCGAACTGCTTAGTGAGACCCTTTATCAGAAGAATAAAAATAAAAATACAAAAAGAAAAATGCTATTAATCTGCCTTAAAATACTCACTTTAAACACTTTTCTCTTGTGCCATTGTCACAACTTTCTGAAGCTCTGCTGGGAGCCATCTGTTGTACGCGTCTTTAACAGGCATGATAAAAAATATGATGAATGCGGCTGCTGAGTACCATCTATTAGAAAAGCATGCTCAAAAACCCTGCCAGGGCAGGCGGGATAGCTCAGGGACTAAGAGCCTGCTTAGGAAAGCGCAACGGACCAGGGTTCGATCCCCAGTCTCGCATGCCGCACTGGCCCCGCCCCCAGGGTGCACCAAACCAGCAAACGAGTCCTGTAATCCCAGCACTGGGGAGGCTGAAAACAGGAGGATCACTACGAGTCCAAGCTGCGGAGTGAGTGAGACCCTGTACCAAATACATAAATAAAATTTTTTTTTAAAAAAAGACTTCTCAGAAAGATACTCGTGAGTGTCCTCCTCTACCCGACTCACAGCACTGTGCAGCTTGCGGCTCTTCCTGAAAGTCAAAATGACCATGAAACATAAACGTTCTAAATCAAGACATTAAGGAGTTATGGCAGAGCAATTAAAGACTTTTGGGGGTCAGGAAGATAGAGGACTTTTGGGAACTAGGGAGATAGTTCAGTACTGGCAAGCTCAGGGTCCTGAGTTCAATCCCCGGTACCACGAAAGAAAAGAAAAGAAAGAAAGAAAGAAAGAAAGAAAGAAAGAAAGAAAGAAAGAAAGAAAGAAAGAAAGAAAGAAAGAAAGGACTTTCAAAGCTGCTTCAGAAAGTAGCAAGAAAGATGGGATAGATGTGCTCAATGAAAGGAGGTATATTGTGAGGGGGATTCATGACAGTGTGTCCTTACTCTAATGCTGTTTTTAATTTAAACATTCATCTTATGTTCCTTTTCCTCTTTCTTTCTTTCTTTCTTTCTTTCTTTCTTTTTTCTTTTTTTAAGACACTGTCTTACTATGTAACGCAGGCTGGCCTTGAACTCACAGTGAACCACCTGCCTCAGCTTCTCAGGTGGGCACTGGGACATTAGTGTGTGCCACCACACCCAGTCCTCACATGTGTTTCAATCCCTTTTATACCTGGCTCTCCGGGGAGTCCTGGTAGTTTCTTTCCAATTGTACATTCTTTCTCTATACATTCCCTTTCTTCAAAATATCATCACAAAGCAAAAACACTCACTAACCAGGTACAAAAGCTTTTGTTTGGTTTTGTTTTGGATATATATATATATATATATATATATATATATATATATTTGGTACAGGCTCTCACTCTGCAGCTCAGACTCATAGTGATCCTCCCGTCTCGGACTCCCCAGTGCT